ACATCATATTCGAACTGTTGCTGAAAGTTCTTTATAACATAAAGTACAAAATTTTATATGCATTCCACAAATCCAGCAGACTTCCACATGGGCGCAAGGTAGAAAAATAACGTTTCGTTCTCGCTTTCGACATATTCGGCAAACCTTTTCAGGCGGTCCCCAGCATTCGTCCTCAGGAACGGAATTTGACATTACTTCAATTGGCTTCCTACTAGACATTGCGCTCCTTATCACTACACTTGACTGTGATATACTGAGAAAAAATCAAACATCTAATAATTAAATTTACAGAACAAAAGTTGTGTTTTTAGTCGCTCTGTTTCTTGATAACAACAATTTATACTGATCTTAATCCATAATACTTTTGTAAGATTTTTGAAATACTCTTCAGTATTAACGCAATCGTAGCAACTGTTATAAAGTAAAGAAGCCCAGAAATTGTATTCATCTCTGTTTTCTTATTCTCAGACAACCCGATGAGTGCATTTGCATATATATCTTCAGAGTCGGAGCAGTTTAAAATAGGTAACGGCCTCCAGGTATCGAAATCTCCAATCGACTTGTCTTGAAACGTTATTCTCAACTTGTAGAATTTAGAGTGTTCCGGAATTTTCGATGTAAAAACTCTCATCTTCCCACCATTGACTATAGTATGTCTCATCTGAGTTAACGTATGTGGACAGGTATCCCTCTCGCTAACATTTTTGTAGCACACATACATTTCGTGTACGTTGTGTATATCATGTATGTACAACACATTTTGTAGTACTGCAGTTAAAATTATGAAATTGGAACGTAAAACAGCCATCGTTGTTAAGCAACAGAGTGGCTATAAACGAATGAGTTACATAATGATTTGTAAACTCTTATAACTACTCTTTTTTGTTATACCTGAAAGAGAGAGGAAATAAAAGAAACATGGATAAGTAAGCGTATATTAAGCATATTAAAAAATAAAATGTAACGTTATAAAGTAATTGGTACAATTTTTGTAGATGTAGGTCCATCATTTGTTCTAGAAAATCGATGTGGATTCGTAAATACATCATCCCACTTGTCTTGATGTTCATCTTTTGAAACTGTTTAGTAATTTTACACTGGTTATCGTAGTGTGTTATTTCGGATTTTAATTGACGAATTTTTTCAAGATGTTTAACTAATAGTGGTTCGAGCATTTTGGAAGTCTTTCAATTCTTCTCTTAAATCTAAATCTGTCCATAGCGAAAAATTCCCAGTATTTACGTCGAGCTGCAGTAGATGCAAAAGTCCACGTTTTCATTATATGCACTTGATTTTTAGATTCGTCGAAAGTAACTCTTTTCTTATTCATTGGGGCATTAAGTTGTATACCCAACGGAAAAGATCTTCACAGTTCCTCTTGCTGCATCTGACTGTTTTATTTGGATTCATATGATATGAACAAAGGGGCACATCTACTTGAAAAAGTGGTGGGGGTTATCCCACCAATTATCAAATTTTTCAACCTTTACCACGTTGGGTAAGTGCTGGTGGCTTGAGGGAACCAATTGCGATAGTATTTTCTTTAAATAGTAGTTTTTGGCGGCCCCTGACGTAAATTATATCAGCACTCAGCAGATAATTACCCAGTAGTATAGCGTTCAGCGCACTTTCACTATATTCTATGTTTCCAGACGAATAGCGGATGCCGTGGATATATCGTTCTGCATATTTAACCTGCTTCTTATTCACGCTGGATAATTCATGAAAACGCATAGGCGGCTTCATTAAATAATGACTCACTTGACATGCATCCTGAATCGTTATTTCCTTGGGATAAAATTCATAACCTCCACCGACACTCAGTAACATAAAACCCTGGATGTCCACAGCCACAACCTTCATCTCGGACGACTATCGAGCAACTAATTAACAATTACTTAGATTTTATTTTTTAAGCTAGATTCTTGACTATTTCGCTAAGTGGGTAGTGTTCCATAATACAATCGTATACGATTATACAATAGGCGCTGGTATTATCGGGAAAGCCTTGTGCTGCTTCAATGTCTTACCTTACGTCCACGGTAGACGATTTCATGCTTTCATCCCGCCTCGAGCAATCGATGACGAAAAGGGCGTGATTCTTAAAGGTGTAGTAATCTAGTAAAGATTTCTTCTGTAGTGTATTCGAGTAACTTGGATAAAACTCGGTATAGTTGTAATGAGCTTCGGCGTAGTCATTCTTTGTAAAATTTAATCGCATCCTCTCGTTGGGGAAGCTCTCACTGTTTAGTGTTAATCTAATATTGGTAATGTCAATGTTATCAAAGTGCGTCGGATCGGCAGTAAATTTGTTCTGTATAGCCGTCTGGAAACCTACAATGATGTATCTGGGACTTTCAATCGCAGAAGTAGTCTTAACAGCCCAAATTTCTTTTGTAGCTCCAGCCGTAAGTGCAGGTAGCATATGCAAATCCCATTGTCTATACGGTATCAATATGGGCGTATCGGCTTTTATGGCTTTTAGTAGGCTAAGTTTTATTTCATCGTTAGGGTATAGTCGTTTAATTTTAACCTCGATGTTTTGAATATCCAGAGTCACTGTAGTTTTATAGGTAGTTACCTTCTCCTTAACCAAGAAACAATTGGAATCGTTACTGGCTCTTATCAATTTAATACATTGTTTGCTACACGTCACCACGCGATAGTCGTTGAAAAGGTTAAATATATGCCTCAACGGGATGAGGAAATTAAACGTTCCATCAGCGTTTAAAGTTGCCACATTAGGATAATTCCATCCGGCTATAGATAAGTGCTTGGAATCCTCGGCGGAATAGCACAAGTACCAGCGAACGGTGCTCACTAGACCAACTTCACGTATACTTTCCAGTTCCTTAGCGTTTATTTCATATGTGGCTGAGGAAAACATAAAGGCTGCTGCGTTGTTTACGAAGGATACGTCTCCATTGCCAACCTTTCTAATTTTTCCGCTGATAAGTATCTGACCGTCGTACGTAGCATCGAAAACATCAGCTTGATTGATGATGATTTCAATGACGTCGTTGTTTCTGAAGGACTTTACGTATGAGTAATACGTTCGCCATTCCACCTTTTGTATGGATTCGTCCATTGAGGGACGGCGAAAAAGATCGAACGTTTGATGCGATGACATTATAGCCCAGAGATTTTAGGAATAAGGTGTTTGTGAGAGACAGAGGCTTTCGCTGCTTAGTGAATGCAACCTTATCGTGAGAGGAGTCTCGCGATACTGACGTGTACCTCACCGATGGAAGCACCTTTATATGATTAGGTTGAGAGTTGTCGAAAACTAGCATTATTCAAGTTTCTTAATCTCCAATTGAACGATGATTCTCTGAAATTTACGGGTTCGAAATTCTGGTCCAACACGTCGATTGTAACCGTGCTTATTTCAGTTCTATTTATCGGTAGATAGATGAGGTGCTTTGGTTTTTCGGCGATGGCAAATCCTGGGTTGACGCGTACAGGAAACTCGTATATAGTATGTGATGGTCTGTCGTTGTAGAAGGCTCCCGAAGTAATGTTACAGTCCAGGTGGATGGTGTGTACTTTTATAATATCCATAGGTAAATCCGATTTGTGTAGGTTCCTGGATTCTAGGAATTTGTTTGAAAATCCCAACGTCCCACCGATACTGCCTTCGGTTTCAAAGTCTACCCCGTATTTATCGCTGTATATTTCACACTTTAGAGTGTTATTGTTGGGTTTTAGCGAAAATATCTGGTCGGCGTTGGGGTCTTTCTCGATTTTTAATGCTTTTCTAATATAATTTTCAATGTCTCGAATCTCGTAAGCACCCTCGGCAAATTGTATAATGGTTTGCTTGTTTTTATCGGTTTTGTCGTTGTCCTTGCACAAAATAAACCTTTGATGAGCTTCGATGTTTGGTAGGCTGTTGTACGAGTGAAAACTAAGAAGAGCCAAGCCGTAGTTGAATTGTGGATCTAAAC